CTGCCAGGGCCGGCCGGTCCGTTTAAGAAGCTTTGTGCGCCTGCTGTGGGGATTTTCTGATCCAGGCTGCGAAGAATTTCGAAGTCTGGAAAATAGCAACTGTGTTTGTTTCTAAAGGATCTTCTCCTGACCCAGCATCGCTCATCACAATGAAGAACCAAGACAAAAAGAACGGGGCTGCCAAACAATCCAACCCAAAAAGCAGCCCGGGACAACCGGAAGCAGGACCCGAGGGAGCCCAGGAGCGGCCCAGCCAGGCGGCTCCTGCAGCAGAAGCAGAAGGTCCCGGCAGCAGCCAGGCTCCTCGGAAGCCGGAGGGTGTGTGCCAGCTCTGCGTTGCCAGCGGGCAGGGGGTGGAGCTGTGGGGCCGGCCTCGCTTCTGGACTTAGAGGCCGAGGCCAGGTTGTCCGGGAGGAGGGAATGTAGAATGAGAGGACAGTGCTGGGGCCGCGGTCCCCCCTGAATTCTGGCGAGTTGGCGGAGCCGCTCCCTCTAAGCACAGGAACAGAGTTCTGGAGAGAACCTCTAACGGGATTAAGTCAGGTGGCAGCCAAACGGGGCACCCAGTCAGGAAATCTAGGTCCGGTTTGAAACACCTCAGCCACTAGCAGCTAACTGCCCTTCCTGTTTGAGGCATTTCTAGAATGATCTGAATGGTAAAAAATGGTTTTGTGAGGGGGAAGGAGATGGACTAGAAGTTGCACCATGCCATCCCTGTGTGCTGATGCTTTACATACTTTTATGATCATAAACATGTTCGGGTGGTAGTGAGAAATAGTTGTGTCATTTTACAAGTAAACAGAAGTTAAGCTTAACTATATTATATTACTATAATTTCTTGATTCAAAAGATGTTTCGAATCTAAATTCTGACAGGAACTAGATTTACTGAATAATACTCCATTCTTGCTTCTCAGTTTCCATAAAAAAAGAAAAGTTAGGCAACATTTAACTCAAACTGATGAGTTTGGCTGGACCTGAAAATTCCCAACCAGTGGTATAATTGTCTTGTTTCTCACTCTACCCCTCATCCTCTCCTGCTGTAGGGGCTCAAGCCAAAACGGCTCAGTCTGGGGCCCTTCGTGATGTCTCTGAGGAGCTGAGTCGCCAATTGGAAGACATACTGAGCACATACTGTGTGGACAGTAACCAGGGGGGGCCTGGCGAGGATGGGGCACAGGGTGAGCCAGCTGAACCCGAAGATGCAGAGAAGTCCAGGACCTATGTGGCAAGGAATGGGGAGCCTGAACCAACTCCAGTAGTCAATGGAGAGAAGGAACCCTCCAAAGGGGATCCAGGCACAGAAGAGATCCGGCAGAGTGATGAGGTCGGAGACCGAGACCACCGAAGGCCACAGGAGAAGAAAAAAGCCAAGGGTTTGGGTGAGCAGAGGGTGGCTCTTTGTGAGGCTGGTGAGGGGAGGGAGTTTGGACTTGACGTTCTCTGGACCAGTCTGTTCCGCCAGGATTCAAAGGAAAACGGTACTTCTCAGAACAGCAAGTCACTCTAGTGTAATCAAAGCCAGGGATGTGGGGGCCACGGCATAGAGAGATGCAGGGGTTCCCAGCACAAGGCCTTCTGGCTTTTGGAGCAACTGGGGGTTGGAATGGGACCTGTTCTCTCTTTGAGAAAATGGAGATGGGAGGCCAGGGTGGGCTCCTGTGCCAGCCAGTACTACCTGCTGTGTGATCTCGGGTGTGTCCCTTCTCCTCTCTGGGTCTTAGTTTATACTTCTCTTTACAGTAAGAAAATTAGACTAGGCTGGAGTTGAAAACCCAAATGTCTGCATAAGCTGGGCTGGCCATGGGGCCACATGAAGATGGAGGCTACTTTATCCAAAGACTTTACTGCTTCCTGATTAGTTGCTCTCAACTAGCCAACTGAGAGCAGGCAAAACTGCAGGCTGGGTGCAGGCTTGTTTTATTTTTGTTTATTTATTTATTTATTTATTTATTTATTTTTTGAGACAGAGTCTCGCTCTGTCACCCAGGCTGAAGTGCAGTGGCACGATCTCGGCTCACTGCAAGATCTGCTCCTAGGTTCACACCAATCTCCTGGCTCAGCCTCCCAAGTAGCTGGAACTACAGGTGCCCACCACCACGCCCAGCTAATTTTTTTTTGTATTTTTAGTAGAGACGGGGTTTCACTGTGTTAGCCAGGATGATCTCGATCTCCTGACCTCATAATCCGCCTGCCTCAGACTCCTAAAGTGTTGGGATTACAGGCGTGAGCCACCGTGGCCAGCCTTCTTTTATTTTTTAAATTATTTTTATTTTTATTTTTTTAAGAAAAGCCAGCAATGTAGAGTTATGTGAGAACTCTAGATTTTTTCATAGTTAGCAGCTAAAATGGTAAGAGCCAAACAAAACCCATCCGTGGGTTGGATTTGGCATGCCTGCCTGCGAATTACAGTCTCTCCATGCTGATCTCTTGGGCCCTTCTGTGAAGGCAGAGGGAAGGCTCCCTGACTCAGGCACAGGCAATGGGGAACAGGCAGTGACAGTTATTTTACAGCAGGATATGTATGTTTGAGAGTCTAGGCCGGGCGCGGTGGCTCACGCCTGTAATTGCAGCACTTTGGGAGGCCGAGACGGATGGATCACCTGAGGGTCAGGAGATCGAGAACAGCCTGGCCAACGTGATGAAACCCTGTCTCTACTAAAAATACAAAAATTAGCTGGGCATGGTGGCACACGCCTGTAATCCCAGCTACTTGGGAGGTTGAGGCAGGAGAATGGCTTGAACTCCGGAGGCAGAGGTTACAGTGAGCCAAGATCGTGCCACTACACTCCAGCCTGGGCAACAAGAGTGAAACTCCGTCTCAAAAAAAAAAAAAAAAAATCTAGAATCTAACTCGGGTGTCATTATATCCATGTTTTATTCCTATTTCCCTCTCCCCTTTTGTATCATCCTACTTTAAAGAGGAACTTTAAAAAATTTTATGGCTGGGCACGGTGGCTCATGCCTGTAATCCCAGCACTTTGGGAGGCTGAGGCGGGTGGATCATGAGGTCAGGAGTTCGAGACCATCCTGGCTTACATGGTGAAACCCTGTCTCTACTAAAAATACAAAAAAGTAGCTGAGCGTGGTGGCGGGCACCTGTAGTCCCAGCTACTCGGGAGGCTGAGGCAGGAGAATGGCGTGAACCGGGGAGGTGGAGCTTGTAGTGACACAAGATCGCACCACTGCATACCAGCCTGCATACCAGCCTGGGTGACAGAGCAAGGCTCTCTCAAAAAAAAAAAAAATCTTAGGGACGGCTAGGCACAGTGGCTCACACCTATAACCCCAGCACTTTGGGAGGCCAAGGCGGGC